CTTGACCAGATCTCCGAGGCCTAAATGTGCTACAAGTTATACGAAGCTATTTGATTGCCATTTAGCATTGCATAGAACATATGCTATTTTCCGCTTTGTACTGCACTAACTGTACATTAATTTATGTGCTATCCTCTCGGTTGCTGTCGTATTGGGAATATATGTAGAATCGAAGCGGTCGTTTTACATGAGATAGCCTTTGTGTATTTTGATCAGCTAAATTAACTGCTAATCTTTCTTTTTATTTGTTAGTAGCATTGCATATTACTTTTTCTATTTCATTGTTGTTGAAAATCCTGACTAAAAATGTGGTGTCTTGCTGGTTTAGAATACCAGCAATATATGTTTAGTATCATATTTTCATGTATTTCCAACTTATGCTTGCATTGTTACGTTCACATCTTGAGAAGATTTTTTTTTTTTTTGCGGAATACTGTAATCATGTGAATGAGCTTAACTAATCATCTTTCAAAGATGTTCATATCTGGTTTGGCGGGCAACGTGCGGCTTGCCGCACTACCTATCTAGTGGTATTGATTTTCAAAGAGGATAACCTGAGCATAACTCATCGCAGAAGTGCACTCCTGAAGAATTCGTTATTTTCTAGTCAGTAGGATTACATATACAATATAATTAACTAGTTTCCCTCGAACATGCCTTTCTGTGTGACCAGCTGTCCAGCACGATGAAAGCCACTTATGTTCTATTGCACTGCCAAGGCACCAAAGTTTGCTGAACTCATATGTTTTTTATGTTGTTCTTGGCCTGCCCTCAATGCTTTTGTTTGCTTGTCACTGGATAAATTCATGAGCTTCAAAAGCTTATTGTGTGATTTTTTTTTGAAATGTTCTTATTGTTTGAGTAAGAATCGATTTATCTTTTATTTGCAGAGGTATGAAGAATTAATCAAGGAGCAGTCTTAAAAGGACCAAGCAAATTTCTGAAGGTCATACGCAGAGGACCAAGCAACGCATTCTTAAAAGGTCTAGAAAACTTGAACTTTATATGACAAACTGATATTATTTGACTGCATGTTGATGTACATCTGTGTCATATCATAAAGCACTGCTTCTTTGCTGTAGCAGTTGCATGCAAGATTTTCTGAGCTTCTTGGACTGATTGACCAATTGTTTTACTCAATGCCATTGTTGGGAAAATAGCTACAAATCTGAAGTGCTACGTTCAAGCGACCATTGTCTCTACTGATTTCAGCTTTGAAGTGGATTTATGTATTTAATTTTTCATTTCCTTATTTAGGATGATGAAAATTGGTTATTTGTATTGCCATAGGAGCCATATGACTAGAAAGCTTCCTAATCTGGAGAGCACAAACTTCATTATCATTCTGTAAGTGCTTCGTTAGTCTTAGAAACGATCCCATTTTGACATAAAAGCTTATGTGCTATATCGTTTTATCCTATAGGCTATCTGCAAATGCTCATCTCTGGCATGAAACTTATATGAGATGTATATCTCTGATTAGCGTAAGGCACCAGACCCTGTCTTGCTCTAGTAGAAGGGCAAAAACAAGGTTAATGCTTAGTAGTTCTGTGTTCTTATTTTCCCTTAACATGCATGGAGAATGCAATTGTACTTTACATGGTTTCAGACCTTTTCTTTGAACTAGAATATCAATACAAAGCATTTTGCACGGATTTTTAGACAAATGCACTCTTTATATGGTGAGTCAGTAAACATATGAAGCTGGACAGATGTTTGACAATCAGATCCGAATACATGTTTTACAATCATGATTGTCATTTTTTATACTTTTTTGGCAGGGATAATTGAGCGATCGGCTCAACAAGACAGAAAAGGACAACAAAAACAGATGGTGAAGACTAGGAGTCAGATTTTCCTTCAGCCCCTCTTGGTCGTTTGATACTTGCTTGTGCCTGGAAACGCTTCCGTCTAGGATTTTGTACCTGATGCACTTTCGCTTCTCCATAATCTGTACCTTGTCGATCTTGTTTGATGTGCTCCTGTTTGTATCACTGTGTGATTTGTATGTTTCTGTTTGGATGATAAGAGCATCTACAGCCGGACATGGCAAATCCAGCCCCTCAAACGCCCGCGGGCATTGACCGGGCACCCCTAAAATGTTGCGCCGCACATCCACACCGCAAATTTTGATCCCCAAATCCGTGCAATTCATGCACGTCGGTCATATGATACAAAATGTCTGAATGCCAAAGTTCGAAACAAAGCAAGGCAAATCATAGTTCAACAAACCAGACATGGCAAACTGAAATCAATGTCCGAGCGTGATGGATGACCTCGGATCACTGGCTCGGCACGTGTTCCGAGCGGAATGCGTCCTGCTCCGACTGCATCCGGGCCGCCTCCTCCGACTGCAACTTGCAGGCGACGTTCTTCGCCTTGCAAGTTGTAGCCGATGACACCGCGCCTTCAACAAACGAGGCGGACTGCATCTCCGTCGCGGTGGTGTGGGTCGGGCTGGACGACATCTCCGGCGGTGGATCGAGACTTGAGGATTGGGAGCAAGGGTGGAGGCCGGCGAGGGTCCGGGCGCGGGAATGGTTGGAGGGGCGACGGGAGGAGAAGGGGTTTGGTGGATTTGGTGCAATTTGGGATGGGGTCTGGCTGTCGGGCCCGACGTGGCGGGCGTGCCCGAGCGTCCCATATTCGTCCCATATTTGGGCTGGGTATGGGGGTGTCGGTCAGCCCGGGCGTATGAAAGGCCCGTCTGGGTAAAAAAATCATGACCTGGCGGCCTGCCTGGATGTTTGAGACGGGTTTAGAGGATCCGGTTGTAGATGCTCTAAGAGAGGTTTGGAGCCACCCTATTTTCGTATTGGCGGCAAGCCATTGAGATACGTTTATTTTCCCTTGAATTTTATGCAGCCCGAGTATTATGTTGGGGGGAAGTAATACGGGAACTTTTTCTGATTTTGTTTTGGCTGGAAAAGGATCATGAGGGAGGAATAAGAATGTAGCCGTCAGATGGAGAATGCGTGGATGGGGAAAAGCACATGATGAGGGCAGGCAAGCCGATCTCTAGTTTCGAGGTAGCCCTACCTACAACTAGAAAAATATCATATTCTTTTCTTCCAGTAAATCTTTCACTCATTCCTTTCATTATGGAATATCATTTTGAGTGTATTTTCCCTCTCAAAAAAGGCTTCACCCTCACTTCACTGAACTTATTGAAAATGCCTAGGACAGAGTTCATTCACTTGCCCAGCAACCCTACTCCTCATAATTGATCCTAATTTCTATCCTTGATTGACTCAATCAGGAAGAGGAAGACTTGATAAAAGATGAAAAGAAAGGATTGATTACTAGAGTAGACGGGAATGGCTACAGGGCAGTCGACTGAAATTTTATTTGGAGCCAGTCGAATCAATATGAAGCGTTAGATAAAAAACATACACACCAGATTATCTCTTCTACCTCGAACCGTTTCTTCCTGAAAACAGATCGTCTTCCCCGCCGCCACCGGCCGGGCCGCCTGCTGCTGCTGCCCGTGGCAGGCGGCGCGCGCTGCCCCGCCCTCCCCAGAACCACCCCCACCGCCGGTCTCCCACCGCCCCGGTCATCCCTCTAGGCCCTGCCGCACCGAGTTTTTTCTCCGGCGAATCCCCACACCACCGCCCCCCACCATCGCCATCCACCACCGCTCACCCTGAACCCTAAGATAGACACCGGGGTAGCCTGCCCAACAAGCTCCTTCCTCCCCTCCGGCGAATTTCTTCCTCCCCTCTGGCTATTTCTCCCTTCGACCAAAATCGATCGACCCTACTGCGAAAACTCAGTTGACTGAAATGCAGCTATTGCGCCTTTTTTTACGGAAACACTAACGCCCACACGTGTGGCAACACTGCAATTCGCTCGCACGCCTGGATCACCATCCAGTTAAGTTTGCATGAATCTTGACACACCGAGGCAGTTTTCGCGTGCCACGTAGGACAAGGCCGGTGTGTGGGTGTTGGAGAGGTTGCCCACACGCCCCCACATCACGCAGTTGCCAGCTGCGCTGTGTAGGCGAACTAGTTTCTGCCCATACAACCATCACCTAGTCCATGCGCGTGTGGGCGAGCTGCTTTTCACCCACACGACAGCCATACGTTGTTGGATGGCAACTGCAGTTGTGCGTACATGGCAACTAGGTAAACACACATGTCAACTATGATCGTTCGCTAGACGGCAACTGCAGTTGCGCGTACGTGGCAATCAAGTAAACATACATGGCAACTGTGATTAACCACACGTGACAACTAGGTAAACACATATCACAACTATTGTTTGACCATATGTGGCAAGTAGTTAATCACACACGACAACTATGGCTTGATTACACGCGGCAACTACCATAAATTAGACATGGCAACTATAGTTAACCAAAACAGAGAAAGTTGTCATGCTTTTACAACCATATTTGCCATCCCGGATAACTACATCTGCCATCCTGAATGGCAACTAACTCGTCATCCCGCGGGTACCTATTGTAGCTGCGTCAGAACGTGCGGGCATATTTGCTTGGTGCCACACGCGCGGGGTGGGGATGACTAGTACTTGTTGGGAGTGTGGCACGAAGTAGCTGCGCCCACGCGTGTGGGCAATTCTACTATTCGTCCACACACAGCCCGTGTAGGCTTCGCCCGCTCATGCCACACACGTTGTGTGGACGAGTGCCTATTATGCCAGACGTGTGATGGATATTGACGTCTTTTTTTATTCTGGATGGAACTGGATGGAAAGGAAAAAATGAATGAAAAAGGGAGCGCTGGTTGGATCGTTGACCGCGTTCCCGTTTAAGTCTTCCGTAAGTGGATCCACTACGGAAACGTATCGTGTGACAGACAGGGACCGCCGCTAGGAAAATCGCTCCTCTCCAAAGGGATCGATCCAAGTCAAACCCGATCGAGTTCCCGACACGGACGGGTCTGCCTCTCAAACTTCCATATAATCGGATCAGATCGATCCAGACGAGATCGATCTAGACGAGCTGCTCAGCAGGGATTGAAGGACTCTGCCCCATGGCCAAGACGCCACAGTCGCCGCCATGGGTGATCCAGTTCAACCGCACGAGCAAACCCGTTCTTGTCGCCCCGTTCGATGGATGTCGCCGCTGGGACGAGACGCTGGACATGCCGGCGCTTCAAGAAAAACGATGCCTCGGCCGGGACGGAGACTGGTCCCTCATGCTCGACGAGAGCACCAACGAGTGCTCCCTCGTGAGCTTTGCTGATACGTCGTTGTCGGCCCCCATCGCGATCGCTCTCCCGCCGCTGCCCAAGGAGCCGTCAGCTGGGCCGCACCTACGGTTCGGCTGCGCGCTCTCGGGCCAAACGCCGCCCGACTGCACCGTCGTGCTCGAGAAGGTGAGGTCCCTCCTACACTGCCGCCCAGGTGATGCCGAGTGGTCCAGCCTCCCGGTGGAGTTAGTCGATGACAACGATTGGTTCGACGGCCCCATAACCCCTGGCCGCCAGAGGAAGGTGTACGCGACGACCATGGCATCCTTGGTGGCCGTCGACGCATCCGGTCCGGCGCCGGTCGTCGAGAGGGCCGACATGACGCCTCCACCGCCGTGCCCAGTGCACAATGGATACAAGTGCTACCCGGTGCCATGTCCCGGTGGCGAGCTATTCTTGGTGCGCTGCTGTCACTATGGCTGCCCGCCAGAGGTGGTCGATGTGAAGGTTTTCCGATGGAATGATGAGGGCAGTGCGTGGGAGGCGGTGGAAACCATCGGCGACAGAACGTTCTTTTTAGGCAGGTTCAATTTCGCAGTCCAGTCGGCGTCTGAAGCAAGAACACAGCCCAACTGTATCCATGTGCTGCAAAAGGTTTGCGGTGAATTTGGTATTTACACCGTGTCTCTGGATGATATGACCATTCAGCTCAGCATAGTCGAGGGATGTGACGTTGATTATGATGGTGAGGAAGTTTTCTGGGCTCTTCCCACTAGGTAAGTCTAATTCGACTGGTTCGATTTGAACAAGTATTATTATTAGTAGTAGTATTTTGTGTGCTTGATCAATGTGATGTGATAGTTTATAAGGTTTCTATATACGTATCACTTTTGCAGCTTCGGTCTGGAAGCAACACGAACCATTGACACTTCTGATGATGTCTCCAATGAAGTAAGTCTTATTATTATTACTTTGACAACTCATTTGACTAGAAACAAGGGAAATTTACTAGGTTGAGTACGCGAGTTTAATCTGTACTTCGACAGGTGATGCAAACAAGAACTCAATATTGCTGCAGAGAAGAGGAAAATGAGGACATGATGAAGACTGCCGCCTCTCTAGCGGACAGGCAGTGGTGTGATCTCCATATCGACTTGTTGCAGCTACTAGTACCCAAGATTTCATTCATTGATTTCCTACACCTAAAAGCTGTCTGTAAGCAGTGGAACTCAATTAAGAGTCCGATCCAACAAGCAAAAGTGTCGCCATTGCTCATGACAACTCGGCCAACAGGAAGGACTAAGGAGGATCTTGTCGAGGTCTTCGATCCGGTGAGCGAGAAGAAGTATAGCATCAGGATAAACATCCCTGCTCCAGTTCTCAAATCTGAGGGATCACAGTTACTGCATTTCACAAAGAATGGCTGGGTCATCGTGTCGAGAGGCAGCGACCGCATGTTCTTCCTTGTGAATCCGTTCAAGAATTACCCTGATGGCGGCCATGTGATTGCTCTTCCACCTTTGGATGTCCTTGGCCTCAAAGGTTTGTCATTCTCTTCCATGCCGGGTTCACCGGACTTCGTGGTCCTCGCTGTAGGAACTACCCCAGACGGTGAAGTTGTCATGATACGAACATGGCGAATGGGAGACAAGGATTGGAGGAAACAATGCTTAGGTGACGACGATGTGACCTTCCTCATGGCATCTCATAGCCCCGTCTTCCTAGATGGAGTGTTCTATTTCCTGGACATCAATGGCAGACTAGCCGTCGTGGACCCGGACCTAGATGAGATGGAGTGGAATGTCCTCGAAAAGCCAGATCAACCAATACGCGGAAGCGATGAGGTGCATCTTTATGAATGGGACTACAGCTATTTGGTGGAGTGGAAGCAGGAGTTGATTGCCATCGTCAGAGAGAACGGAGATGGCTTCAGAACATTCAAGCTTGATCGGTCTCACATGGTTTGGTCCGAGTTCCAAGGCATGGAGGATGCGGCCGTGTTTTGGGATAGGAGCAATGCTCTGATTACTGTGCCGCCTGCTGGAGAAGATTTATGCAACAAGATGTTCCTCCCGAGCTATAGTGAGATCACCGATGGTGGCAGGAACCAAACGTTCTACTCATTCCGGGAGCAATGCTACTACCCTTCCTTCTATGCCAAGGAGCCCATGAACGCCATATGGTTCCAGCCAGACTTAGACGTACTTACGTTGACTAGCCAGTAGTGAATGTTACTCCCTTTGTTTCTTTTTTCCTTTCTGTCTTAAGTCAAAACTTTGTAAAGTTTGACCAAAATTATAAAGAGAAAAATTAACATTCACGATATCAAATCAATATCATTGGATGCATCATGGACTTAATTTCATATTGTAGATATTGATATTTTTTATATAATTTTGGTCAAATTTATGAAGATTGACTCGAGTCAAATCATATACATTGAGTAAAAAGAAGCGGAAGTGGAGATACTCTGGGTAGCTAAGGAAGAAGCACTGTACAGGGGCTAAACATTTTTATCTTGAAACGATGAAAAGTTTAGTTATGAAAGCTGGTATCTTCGGATGTTTAAAATTTGACTTAACTTTTATATGTGCCTTTGAGATTTTGCGTGTATACCCTCATGTCACTCAAATTCCCCTGTCTATATGATTTTGCCCTTGGTCATACGTTGCGATGATTTAGCCAAATGCTGTTAGTGCAAGTTTTGATGATTTACCCTAAACATAGGTTTGATGATTTAGCCAAATGTTGTTGATGTAAGTTTTATTCCAGATTTTTGGCATGAATATGAATATGAACAGATGTTTGATTTAGTTTCGGCGGCTGCTTGGCGTCAGCCAGCCGATCTTAGGGAAAGATCAGCCGCCTAGCAAGCCGCCCGATCAGGCATGCATGGCCGTTCGATCACACGCTCGTGGCAACACAGCGCGTCTTCCTCGTTTCACATACTCCTCTCGTTTCTCATCCATCAGGGCGATGCAGGACCCCTCTCCTCCCATCCATGCAACAACAGCCCCGCACGCCTCAACAGTGCATCGTCACCCGTCCGCTGACTCTCGATCGCAGCAGCCCCACCATCGTAGCCCAGGGGATGCTTCACCGCAGCACCACTGCACCACCATGGCCCGACGATCTTACATCACAGCATGAGCAGCCTGGCGATTCTTCATCGATACACCGGCGGCCAGATGATGCTTCATGCAACACCTACGGCCCCGGTGATGATCCATCGCAGCACCGTCCATGTTACATCACAACACCGGCGGCCCGGCGATGCTCCATGGCAACACCGGTGAGCCCCCTGGCTGCAGTACCACCGCTCGCTTGAAGCAGAAGCAGAGCGCTGTCAGGCCTCCATTGCAAAAGCGCCCGCGCGACCGCATTGCAGCGCCGTTGCAGACCGTCGGCACACAACTCGCCCCCTGCATGCAGCAACGGTAGATGCCACGACGGGGTGGGTTGCAGCATCCTCCTAACTAGCCAGATAGCCCTTTGCAGAATGGTAGGTTCATGGCACTGAACAAATGGTGAATATTTCATCAAACCTGAGATGAATCTATTCATACAGTAGTCATCAGGCACTGCAGGACTATCTCTCCTCATAAGGTTCATTAAATATTCAAATTGCTGAATGTACTCTTTGACAATTGTTGTCTGAGTGAGTGAGTGGAATGACCTCACAATATAACATATAGAAGCTTCTGAAAATTTATCACCAATGTCTCTGCAAAACCTGTACCAGGGCATAATAAAGGCTACTACAATTGGAGGGTCCTTGAGGTAGGTTACTACAATTTCAGTTTGCATTTCAGGGGGGGTTCTATCAGCATCAAAGTATAACTCCATGGTCTGAATCCAGGATTCAGTATTGTCTCCTTCAAATTCAACCATGTTCATCTTAATTGGCTTGACTAGTGTCTGTGCTCTTCTGAATTCCTGCCGCTGTTCCCTGTGAGCAGGTGGACCTCTTCTAACTTGTTCCCCATTTTCAATTTCTAAGTGATGCAGCTCTTGAGCTACTACTTATTGATGCACTCGTCTACCTTTTAGGACCATGAGTTTGATGCTTGTTTGCTCCAAAGTTAGGGTGCATGTAACGATGCTTTTATGTGCCATCTAAGGGCAACTCTCTACCAGTCATGGCATAATGAAGTACCGCATAACCTACTCTATTTGGTGTATGCAGTGTTTCATTAGCTAGCTTCAGTGCTGCTTGTGGTGTGTTATTCTGCACACCGCCTTGCCGACCATTAGGTGTTTCTGGGTGGGAAAAAAGTTTGAATGAACTTTGTCGGTGAGGCCTACATTTCAGTCAATGATTTTTGCACATCTGAGAAGTTCTTGTTTACATCCATACTAAATTCAAGAAACGCCTTGTTGTCACTATCCCTATTCTGCCGCAGTATTTTTCACATCTAATTGCTGAGATTCCACTTCTAACTCTGCTGTACCTGTGGATTCAGTAACTTCAACCATAAGTTCAGAGAGGTTTTATGTAAAGTTGTGTACTTTGCAACCAAAATGAAGAAGGAAAAAACGGAACATCCTAGACAAGCAAGTTATTTTGCCACAACAACGCTTCTACCTGGGCTTGAAGAAGTAGTTAATGTCGCCGCCATCCGTGCCTTGCCTCCAATGATGCACAAGAGGATGGGTGGGGTTTTAAAACTAAAGAAGTGTTCTTCAAAAACCACTACTTGTGCCACTTTTTGCACCGGAACTGTCTACCGCCGCCACACGCCCGTCGATGAATCCACACTGCCATAGTAGATTGAGAAGAGAACAAGGGACAATTATCGGCAAAAACCGATGCGTATGAATACCAATTCTTAGGATCGAACTCTCTGAAACTAGGAATGCACTAAATCTGCAGGCAACACACGAAGTAGCAGAGTTTGAAGGAAGATTGGCTAGGGTTTGCGTCCCCAAAACAGGTGCGTATTAAGCCAGCCGGAACATGGCGGCTAGGGTTTAACCCTTTTACAAAACGAGATACCATCTTGTACCGGAATCTGAGGATTTATACCATTTCAATCCGAGAGAAGGGTACAAAGTAGAGAGGGGAACAGGTAAACTTTGCAGGGAAGCAAACGACGAAGCGGTAAGTAGCTCGGCTGTCCGTTGGATTGGGGATGGATCGCTGAGTTTGAATTTTCGGTGAAGCGGTACGGCTAGTTAACTGAATGTCTGAATGTTAGCCCGATGTGTGTTGATATCTTCAGTTCAGGGCCTGGCACAATTCATTCCCCTCCCATCTTCTCGTGCAGCAGGGAGGCAGCGGTGGTGGAATCCGAGACGACGACGGTGGCACAATCACCGGTGATGGCGGCGCCGCAACCAGGCTGTTAGACTCTGGGCCTACATGTATTATAGTTATAATTGTATTTGTACACGATGATGTACCCCCTATATAATACAAAGGCCACCCCACGTTGGAGGCGTGCCACAAACCCTAAACCCTTTGTTTTACATGGTATCATGCCTACCGATCTAACCTAAGTCTTCCGCTCCACCCCCGCCGCCAGCCGCCGCCATCATGTCGCATCCGGCCGCCGACACCGCCGCTGCCCTCGCAGCGTCCCTCGCCGCCGCATCGACTGCTGCCGCCGCTGGTGCGGGTCTCCGCTCCGTCGCCACGGACCATGCGTTCCTACCGCCGTCGCTCGCGGCTCTCCTCTATGGAGGGGCTGCGCCCTACACGACGGAGGGTTCGCTCGGGCCCCTGACGACGCAATCTGCAGGCCACCAGTACGCCGGGTCCGTCGCCTACCAGTACGCCGGCCACTCTTCGTCGCCCTCTGCATCTACCCTGCTTCCGGCCGCCCCGCATCCGATGATGCGCCCAGTTGTGTCTGACCCTGCTGCTGTCACCTACACCGCAGCGGGCTCTTCTGTTGCCGACGCCCCTCACGCGGCCTACGCCGGCTATGGTGGTCTCCCTCTGTATGGTGCCCCGTACGACTCTTCACCCGCGCCGCGCCCTCCACACGGCGCCTATCCTCGGTCCGGCGCCCCCGCGGCCTCTTCGCCGTATGGCCCACCGGCAGTGTACGGTGCACCGCCGTCCTATGGTGTTGCGGCGTATGGCGCTCCACATCAACCTCCGTCTGCGCCGCCTCCCTACATGGACCTTGAAGCTGCTTTGGCTGCGATCTCCTCGCCGCCGTTCCTGTTCTCGCATCTCCTCCCGGTCAAGCTCAAGCCGTATAACTACCTCTACTGGCGCGCGCAAGTGCTTCCTCTGCTTCGCAGCCATTACTTGGAGGGCTTCGTCGACGGTACCTTGCCGTGTCCACCGCCGCATCATCCGATGTTTCGTGCGTGGATTGCTCAGGACCAAGCCATCCTCTCAGCGATCCTCCCTGGGCGAGGGTGTTTCTGGGCTGGTTCTCTTTGCCGCGACATATCATGAGGTGTGGGACATCCTGGAGTCGAGTTTTTCATCACAGTCTATTGCGCAGAGCATGTCCATCCGCGCGAAGATTGCTGACACTCGCAAGGACAATGGTTCGGTGACCGTCTTCTACAACAAAATCAAAAAGCTGGCTGACACTCTTGCTTCCATTGGCGAGCCTCTTCGTGACACTGAGTTCACATCCTACATCCTCGCGGGCCTGGATAGCGATTATGACTCGCTGGCAGAGGTGATCAATGAATGCAAGGTTCCTATCCGTCCTCAGGATCTCTACAGCCGCCTCCTCTCGACGGAGCAACGACTCAACGCACGCCGCTCGGACACTCCCGTGGACCCCTCTGTTAACGCTGCGTACCGTGGCAAAGGAGGTGGCCGTGGCCCTTCTGCTTCCTCGGCTGGGGTGGGGGGGAGCAAACCCGGTGGTAGTACGTCCTCGGGTCAGCAGCCGCTATCACGCCCTGGCTCCTCTGTGGTCACTATTGATGGTCGTCCACGTGCATGTTGTGCTGCGTGTGGAGCGGCCCAGCCGTGTCAACTCTGTGGCTTGCTAGGTCACATTGCCTCTCGCTATCATCGTTGCTTCAAGATCGACTTCCTCGGCCTCGACAACAACGGCAAGGGCAATGATCGCCAAGTTCTTATGGCACAGCAGGGACATACGCCTTCATATCCTGTTGATCCTTCCTGGTACATGGATACTGGAGCGACAACCCACGTGACGAATGAACTGGGCAAGCTCAACGTTCAGCAACCCTACCATGGCTACGGCAAAGTTCACACAGCAGATGGGGCAGGTATGCGCATCTCTCA